ACTATTTAAACGACTGACTGCATTTTTTCGTTGTATTGCTTTGGAACACAATGTACCTTCATAATCTATGAAAGTTGCTGTTAAAAGGTCACTGGTGGTATTTGGTTTTAAAGTGCTCTTACTTATCTTTTTCATTCCCAACCCACAATCTTATATTCACCTGAACCTGATCCAGCAAGTGCAGAAGCACATGGCCACCTTCAAAATTAAAGCAGAATTTCAGGCCAAAATTGTTTTTGCCCATGCAGTGGGACTGTGCCTGCACTGCATAGGTAACTTCTCATTTTGATCCAGGGGAGAGAACAGTGGAGACATACTCAACTGACCCGCAGATTCTCCCCAAGACCAGTCCCCTCGGCTTCTTCCCCCTCCACCCCACGGTCCAGTGGTCTTGTAAATGGACTGTTCTTGACATCAGCCTGCTCAAAGCATGCTCCATTAGCAGGAACAGTCCACCGCTGGACCATGGGGGAGTGCGGTTTTCCGAAGGATTGGCAGGTAAAGCAAGTATGAGCTTTGTGTTCTCCCCTAAAAAAAAGGAGCAGCTGACCCATGCAGTTAGAGCACAGCCCCACTGCCTGCTGAAAAAAAAAACAATTTTGACCAGAGTTCTGCTTGAAGCTTTCTGTAGGACTGAAGAGAGATTGAATGCTGAGGCTGGAAGATAAGATTTAGGGACTGTTCATACCAATCTGCAACCTGCACAGCGTTTTGATGCAGCAGTAGCAGTGTGATGTGCATTTTATCACATAACATTTAACCCCCCCCCCCCCCCCCCCCCCTTTTTTTTTTTTTTTGGAAAATAATTTTATTTTTTTTAAGTGTACAGTGTGACACGTCATTAATATGATCGCACAGAAGCCCAGAGTGCTGCACTTCTGTGCAGTGATATGCAGGACCGAGCAGAGCGGTGTGAAATAGTGTAGTGCAGACAACTTGCATATTATCACAGTGCTCTGGAACGCAACGTCTGGTCTGAACATGTCACACAGAAATCTACGGCTTTCTGTGTGCCACTGCATCTAGTGTGGATGGGCCCTTAAAAACCAAGATCTCTTTGGACTGGGGACAGCTGACTGGAAGTGCTGAGACTGTAGAAATGCTTCTTTCTGCCTGCAGCACTGGAGCTCTGGAACAAAACTTTAAAGCAATACAAAAACAATAATATTTGATTGATCACACAGTTACAGTGTATTGTGGAGTCAGCATTTATTATCTCAGACTTGTAAGAGTTGCTAAAAGACCCCCTTTGAAGTAGAATTCTAGGCAAACAACTAAAATATGTATATGTTCACTTTTACCTTTTGAAAAATTTAAAAATTTTCTGCTGACAATCCTGTGATGCAGATGATTCAGCACATTCAGGTAGCGGACACATTGAAAGATGCATGCATGTGTTAAATGAATGCCAAAATGAGCATAAAATTAACCATACTTTTACCCAAAATGAAATTACCTTTTGGTCTTAGGGTTCATGTACACGGGGTGTTTGGAAAACTCTTCTGAATAATGGAAACTGACTGCTAGAAAATGTAGGTTAAAAAAATGTCAGTTTAGCCACGTTTGCTTAAGCATTTATTTTGCGTTTAGAAGCGTTTTTTAAAAGATAACCTCAGGAGACCTTCCCAAATTCCCAGAATGCACTGAAAAAATAGTAAAAAAAAAAAATAAAAAAAACTATTTCAGACATTTTGAGAGGAATAGAGAGAGCAGAAGCAGAGAGAGCAGTATTTGTTAAGATGACCTGTCTTTTCTGGTTGTATTCACTATGGATCCCATCATGAGCATAATGCGGCTTGTTCTATCGTTTTTTCCTTCACACACAAAACCTGGAACTGACTGTGCTGGTGTACTGGGTCCATTTGAATACATGGAAAACACTTTGCATGCATTTATGATGATGAAAAAACGGCTCTGGACAGCATCTGGACATGAAACAGTTAAAAACCGCTTCTAAACACGCAAGCGCTTATAAACGTGGTTTACTGTGTTTACAAGCATTTGACGTTTGAAACGCCAGTAAAATCTACTCCTGAACATAAGTTTGGTGCGTTAAAAAAAAACAACTGTAAACTCAACTGCCTGTAAACGGCTGTAAAACAACTATGTGTACATGGACACATAGGAAAACAGAGTTCAGGGGCTGCTTCAAAAAATACTGAACTGCTCTTGAACGTCAGTTTAGGAGCTGCAGTGTACATGAGCCCTTAAACGTTGTCAGCTGTGCAAGAAGCTCCATTGATCAGCTATATCTGGATTATTTTTACCCATAATTCAGTAGTAGAAAGCACTTTGTTAATCAGAGAAAAATCTACTTTATTAAACTATTCTCAAAGTTGAGGCAAGAAAAAATAAAATGACGAAATAAACAACCTCCAGCAACTCAGTGGTCAGAGTCAAACAAGCCCTCCTGTGATGATAAAATCACCATTAAAACTTATATCAAACTTTTATTTCAGTTTTTTAAATATGAGGTCTAGAAGTTAGTGGTTATTGGAGTCACAGACTGAAGTTCTGAACACATTACCATGACGTAGCGTCTAGAGCCATGATACGCATGAAGCTATGCTGTATTGAAGTTCACCTGTGGATTTACCAGTGAAAGGTACCATCTTTGGGACATACAGGGTACTTACTATAAGTTGACTTGGGGCATTTAATACACACTTTATGCAGTAGCTGTTGAAATATTTTTTAGCACTTCGGCCGACTGTCATATACATATTGTGACCTATGTTTTGTATGCAACTGTTTAAATTGGGTTTGTTATAGCCTATGCAATATATCTAGCACTTTGCCTACAGATATATATTTAATGTGATCTGTATTTATTGTATACAAGTGTCACTCCAGTGCAGGACAATTTTTTTTAAGCTGGTTAATTCAGTTTATATTTGACCAATGGAGAGAGTTGTTTGGAGTCATTTTCACACGTTTATGTGTGAAGTGTATATAACTTTATGCTCTTTGAGAGAAATATATTTTTTGATCAACATAGTTAACTAAATTTCACTATTTCTCAGACATAATATTTGAATTTTTAATATCGGTGCAATATTTTTTTCTTTTAGAGCAGTGGTCTCAAATTGCATCCCGGGGGTTGGATGCGGCCCTTTGATTGCTTTTATCAGGCCCTTAGGGAATTCCCCCACTGTGAGCAACAGTGGGGCAGAGTTCCTTGCACTGACAATGCGGCACTTTTCCTCCCACTGATACCAATGATGGGGCACTATTCCTTCCATTGAGACAAAAAATGGGTCACTATTCCTCCCCCTAATACCAAAGATGGGTCACTATTCCTCCCACTGACACCAGGAAATTTTCTCATCCTGCTGGCCACAATCTGGCCTCTAAAGTTGAAGGACAGTATACCAGCCCTTTGTTTAGAAAGTCTGGAGACCCCTGTTTTAAGGGGCGAGTTTTAGTATTGCATTTGTGTAACTTGTCTTCCTTATTTTGCACGCTTTGATGCTGCAAGTTACTTTGTACTGTACAAATTCCATTTCAGGCATCTGCACTAATTTATAGACCTTGCATCTCAGTGTGTGTGCACAATGTTAAATCAGAGACTTTCTGCCCCAAACAAGGGTGAAATCTGATATGATTTTTTGCTTTTCTGCCAACAATGTATTCAGACAAAGATAAGCAGCTACTGTTATGGCTTATTTATGATCGAAGTGATGTGTGAGCTCCTTCCATACCTGTTGTACAAGCACTGTGAAGTCCGCCATTCAGGAGAACTAGGAAACCACTTCATCAACTTCCCTACTTATCTTTAACAGTTTAGCTGATTTAACTCACATGTGAGCTTTCAGTGACAGGTACACTTAGAGTATAAAATCTAAAACAAAATTTTAATATATTGCACGTTATCAGTCTTTAGAGGTGTCTGTAGGAGTTTTCCCTTTTTCAGGGTTTTCAGTTTTATTTTCACTTCACAGTCTTGCATATTACACATTTCCAGTCCCTGGGCATCTATGCTCACTCTTCCATAGAGGGAGCCATGGTTGTCACCATAGGCTGGACTTTAAGCAGGTTTTCCTCTCTCCATTACAATGGAAGTGGGAGAAAAATTACATTTTTGTTCTTGAGTTTAGGTATACACTTTAAAAGTTAACCTGTCAGGATCATAGTTAAAGAAGAATTCCAGGTATGGATATTTTTACATCCAGCTTGCACCAATGTAACTATGCATATACCATACTTGTGGGATCCCCTTGGAAGCTGCAAATCACGGTAGTAGGCAACATTACTGCAGTGATCTCCACCAGCTTCCAGGTCCCATGGCAAGTGGCTGCTCTGCTGCACTAAGAACACAGGAGGTTGCCACTCAGCACAGGCCCCATTCAGTAAATGCTTTCCATTTTTTCAAAGAATGCAAAGCATGCACGGACGTGGAGAGGGTGACATTACTTCTGCACCTTTTCACCTTGTCTAAACTTTGCATCCCTGTAGAATATTCAAAGAGATTTCTGAATTGCACCCGTGCTGAGCAGGCGACCTCCTGTGTCCCAATCCTTGGCACAAGACCCAGAACCTAGTGGAGAACCTTGTAATAGCAGTGTCTACTACAGTGAATTCCAGCTTCTAGAGGGAAACCACAGGTATGGCATATGCTTGTGGGATACAAAACATAACAATGTAAAAATATCCATACCTAGAATTCTTCTTTAACTGTCCCAACGAAGGCTCTTATGGCCCGACTCCTGTAGCAGCGCTAGTCATGGCACTACATAGGTTAGCTTTGCCTTTTAGCACCACTTCTGGGAGTCAGGCAATAAGAGCTTCTATAAAAACCAACAGTCATTATAACAAGTTCCCTTTAGGTGTTCATCATGGCTACCATATTGCTCTCACTTCTAGAAGTCAAGATGAAAACTGCACCATGAAGTCCTGAAGAATTTCCAGTTTTTCTATTCTGATTTCTGGTCAACTTAAATTGGAGCAGCACATCCTCTATCACGAACACATTATAAAAATATCTAAGTACTACCCACGCCTCAGGTATCAACATACATTCCATTGATCAAATAGTCAAGTTTGGTGTACTGGTGGCGGCGCCGTGCCTCAGATACCTTGTGACTAACCAGACCAATGATCAGCACAAGGAACATTACCCCGAATACTAGAGCAGCCACCAAACCACTTTTTTCACTGTCATTTGAAACAGTATGAAGAGTGTCAAGATTTTGAGGGGAATCCTCATTGTTCCCAGCAGGAGCAGCATCCTGCTGTTCTGGTAAAGTCAGTTCAGGAACAGATCGATTAGCTTCCTGCACTTCCTTGCTTGTAAAAAGATGGTTACCATCTTTGAGGGTGGATTTTGCAGCCTTCAAGAGAGAAGTCCGTGAAGGATTGTGTCGAGTTACCAGAAGGGTGGATTTGGCTTGATGGCCAGCACTGGTGGTTGGAACCTGAGTTGTGATCATGAGGTGCCCAGCCTGCATGTTTTTCATAGTTGCATCTGTGCCGGAAGAACTGGCACTATTGTGACTAAGAACCTTGGTATTCTTTGTACCAGAGCTTGGTGCTTTTTTAGCAAATTTACTTTCCTTTGATGGAGTGGTTGATGGGTTGAAGGTAGGTTTTGTTTTTGGAACAGGACGATGGGCAGCAGTGCTATTTCGGTGTAAAGTCCGAACAGATGGAGCCAAGGTGCTGAGTTCTGGTGTAAAGTAATGGACCTCAAGGGTCTCAGGTTTTTTCTTAATCACTTTACTAAGTTTTGTGTCCTTAATATGAGAAGAAAATGTATTTGAATCTTTGCTTCTGGAAGTTGTCGTTGGTTCTACCATAGACTTCTCATCTGTAGAAGAGACAGAAAGTCCATCTGACTTAGAGTCTTTTGATTCCTTATAGCTGGCTTCAATTTTCTCCAACCGTTTGTCTATGTTGTTGGCCAGATGAAGCAGCTGGGAGGCGATACGGTCAGGTGTGTCGGCTTTGTCCTCCTTAGTGAGGTGGTTGACCTCATTTGTCTTGCTCTGAGAATGAACATTAGATGAAGAGCTCTTCCTGACCGAGTCAAGTGCACTCAAATCTTCCTCAAATTCTGGTTCTGCAGGGACAGTTGCTTGGACAGCAGGGCTCAACTTCTTATCCAGGGAATTTTGTACTTTGCCATTATTCTTGGGGAAGTCCAACAAATCCTCTTCTGTTACGTCAGGATTACTCTCTCCTTTCTCTGAAACAAAAATAAAATCACAACTGACTCCATAGGAAACAAAGAATTTCAGTTGCATCTGATTCAAATGTTTGCAGCAAAACCTTAAATGTTACAGACAGCTACTGACTGTTTACAGTGCAACACCAGCCAAAGACAGTTTTTATTTTTGGTAAAATGGGGTAGAGTTAGCGTGAAGGTCATGACAAAACCCAAATGTAATCTCTTCATCCAATGTGCATGCTTCTGTGGCCATTAAGGGTCATGCAATCACTGAAATACACATGCATGCTCTACGTATGTATTTGCATCTATATTTCTCCGCATAGGGTCACAGGGGTGCTTTTCATTTGTTTTAATGCTATTTTTCTTTTTTTATATTTTTTTTTCACTTTTTTATCATTTAACTTTATTGTCATAGCACAAACGCTAACAGGCCCCCTTTGTGATAGCATTAGGCATGTGACAGGTACTATTCATGGAGACATCCTTTGGTCTAATAGACCCCTGATCAAGTACAGGACTGTGCTTTGCTGCAGTACATTTGCTTTTGAAAGATCTGAACCTGGGAATGCTCAGAGCTGAGTTCTCCCAGGTTCACACTCAGTAGAGGAGATTGAGGCATGGATGCTCTCCAACCTCCTCCTGTCTGCTGTCCTGACACCTGAACATACCAGACACATTCAAAGAGCTGAAGAGATTAAAAGAAATCTTCTATAGTCTTTAGAGTGGAGAAAACCAGAATTTCTCTCACAAAGCATTTACATAAAACAGAACAAGGAAGTGGGATTGTACAGCAAATGTGTCTCCATTACCAACCTGTCAAGAAAGAGTAACTGAGGACCCCTGGGGAGGGAGTCATAGGACAGGATTCAGTCTTCGGGCACATGAACAGGTAACAGTTTTGCAGCATGTTGTTGCTTCGGGTGTCATATACAGCAAGGTTGCAGGTTCGACCACCTAAAAAGAATAATCACATGTTCAGATTTCTGTACTGTAGTCTCTGTACCTGTATAAAGATTGCCAATGATGACTTTCTCCTGAAAATAAAAGATGCCTGGCTACTTCTTGTTCCTATATTTTCTGAGTGACTGACCTGCAACAAATATGCAGCCAATAAGGGCAGAGCTCCAAGTGACTAAGAATACTGAAGCCATTGGATCATAATGACTGCCAGGCAATTAACATTTTCAAAAAGACATAAGCCAATGGAAGCCTAGATATTAATTGAACCCTTTCACTACCACAGAAATGTTTCCCCACCCATGTAAAAAAAAAACAAAAAAAAACACATTTTAGGCCTGAAGAATACCCCCACCCCCCTAAACAGTATATATTTTTCTGACAGCAAAGACTCTGTACAGAATAAAATTACATCAGATGACATTTTTTTTATATCATATGATATTAGCACAACTGTTTATCAAACTTTTATTTTCAGTAACATATACACTCAAATTATTTCAGTATACATAAACACCATACTATTTTTTGGGGCAAAGTATAAACAATGGGGTAAGGTTCAATAAATAAGTAACAAACATGTCAAGCCTTAAAATTGTGCAGGCCTGGGAAACAAAGTTTCCAAAATTGTCTATAGATTGACACTTTAAAGGTCTTTTCTGCTCATTCAGTTGAGAGTTAACACTGAAAGAAAGCCCACGAATTATTGCTTTCTCTCATGTGAGGTGAGATGTGTTGCATAATCATTGTTTTGTGTAAGCAGGCACACACAATAGGCCTCCATGTGCACATGTAGTTTTTAGAATTGGTTTTTTTTTTTTTTTACATAATGTTATTGCTGTCACAAGCGGGCTGATGGGCCATATATGTGATATGAAACTGGAACCGATCAGAGCATGTTGCTTCTGGTGTTATTCTTCACAGGGAAGATCAGTGAATGAATGTTCGCTGCTCTCCTGCCATGATGGTACTAGGCACTCAGTAGGGACAGGTGAGCCTGAGGCACATGGCGAGGAAGGGGAAGTTGGGGGGGTTTGTCACCTTACAATACGGGTGGACGTGATTGGATGGCTTTACAGCCACCTGAATAAATTCCAAAATACAGGTGTATCTCGGTTTACAAATTTAATTCGTTCTGCAGGACTTTTCGTATTGCAAAAAAATTTGTAAACCAGAATTCATTGAAAACCAATTTAATCCGTTCTGGAGGTCAGATAGAAGTAGAAAAAAAAAAAAAAAAAAAAGTCTTATCTGTTCAAAAAACTCTTTATAAAGTGCACTTTAATGGCATAAATACTGTACAGGGACATGATTACATTTTTGTACATGCATTGAAAACTAATTAATCCAATCCGGAGGTCAGAAAAAGTAAAAAAAAAAAAAAAAAGTCTTATCTGTTCAAAACTCTTTATAAAGGCATAGTACTGTACAGGGACATGATTAAAAAACATTTAGTAAATGCACTGAAAACCAATCAATCCGTTCGTATTGCAAAAAAAAAAAAACAAATTACTAAACCGAAGCATTATTTTCAATGGATTTTCATTCGCAAACCGAAAATTACGTTAACCGAGGTATGCCTGTAATGCAGGAGTCTGCAAACATGGAAGTGCTGCTGCTGACGTAAACCTTACATCAGTAGCAGCAAATGGATTAAAGTGTTCCTATGACACCAGCATGACATCAGCAGCACCGGGAGCAGGTAAGAGAGTGTTTAACTGTGTCTCCTCCTGCCAATGCATTTACAGAAGGGCAGACTTGAACCACCCACAACCGGAGCTGCTCAGATCAAGATCATGAAAAGCAGAGTACTATCATGTGACATTGCACCCAGAAAGATTTTTTATCTCAATGTAGAGCCATTATAACTACTTTAAATTATGTCATTCTACTGTTGTTAAAGAGCAACCCAAGACAATTATATGCACTGAAAGGAATTTAATAAAACTTTATTGTACCCTGCTCCGGTTCTGCTGAGAAAGCTCAGTTCAGTTACCTCCCCAAACCTCTCCCTGATCCAATCACACAGTCAGTGACACTATGAATCACCTATGAATCGCACAGGATTCCTGTGCAGTTCAAATGCGATTCAGTGCAGTGCGATTTGAGCCCAATCATTTTGAAGGTTCAAATTGCTCTGCACCTCACCAAAATAGTGCATTCACTACTTTTGGAAACGCACTGCACTTAGATTGTATGATAGTTTTGTACCATGGAATCCAGTGCAGGCAAATGTAATGCGTTTGCGACCTGCGTCTGAGTTGTCGTTAACATTGTACTGACAGCCACTGCAGATCACAAGGGCAGTGTGTTTTGTTTCACATAAAAATGTATTAGGCTTTTCCAAAGCATTACAAAGGAGTTATGGACTGGAAGCAATAAGACAATATAAGAGTACAAATGAAAAATCAGTGTAAGGCTTGCATTGTAGAAAAACACAGAATACAAGCCAAGAACTGGCAGTGTGTTTTGAACGTGGTGAAATGAACACGGATCGCAAATTTCCCTTACCACATTGTAGTGTGAACTAGGGCTCAGTGTTGTAAGGCAAAAACTGCTGGGAAAGCAGTGAGTCAATTACAGAGCAGAACTAGAGAATCCCAAGGCTGGTTATACGCCATTAGATAATCAAACGAAAAGTCATACAAAAATATGAATCAAAATTCTTCGTACATCTGATGGCTACTTCAGCACGATTTCAAAGCCATAGATCGGTGCAATTTGTATCTCCGATTTCATTGCGGCTTGTGACTTCATTTAACAGATGTCAATTCAAGTCGCAAAGACAAATTGCACTGGTTTGAATTGTAAAAAAAAAAACAAGAGCAAAAAAGACATTGGTAATGGATATCGGCAAAGTACTTGAGAAAACGTATTGGTACTTGTACTCGGTCTTAAAGTGTTACTAAACCCACAACAGGAAAATCAGTCTGTATATGCACTAAAGCATGTTTGTTATACTCACCCGTGGAACTTAAGGGGTTTAATCCTCTGCATTGTGTAAAAAGGGTGTTTAATCCTATCTGGTCTGATCCTCCCCTTTTTCCCCTGTCCCCGATTCATCTCCTGACAGAACAGAGCCTTGGGGGCAATCTCCACATGCTCAGTTTGGTTTATATTGGTACAGAATTTTTTTTTCCTTGGGAGAGTGCATGTGATCAGCACTGGGCCAATCAGCACTGTCCAGACAGAGGGTCAGGGGTCCTGCAGCCTCATAGGACAATCAGGGGAGAACGAAAACTCCTCCTACAAGCTTTAACCACTGCTCTGCTGGACAGTGATAGAAGTCACAAGACTGCTCTAACTGCTGATGAGAAAAGGTATTTAACAGTTTATATAATTAAATTTTTCTCCCTCAAAATTTTTTTCTCACTGTTGTCGAAAACAAAATGTCAACTTCACGAATGATCAGATAATAAATAAAACATTCTTAAAATGAAACTTTTTGGACAAAATTCCATTAGTGTAAAGGCAGCTTAAAGCCGTCCATACATGGATCAAAATTTGGCCAGTTCATCAGGAACAGGCTGACATTTTATCCATTTAAAGGCAGGCTGATTGTAAACGTCGATCTACCGACTGACTTGGGTACAATCAGTGACAGATTTTTTTGACATTCGATTACTGCCAGCGGCTATAGCCGCTAACAGTAACCATTTTGTTTTGCCAGCTAGGAAGGTTCTCCGTGCCCCCCTCCCCTATCGCCAAAACACAACAGTGATGTGAGAGGCATTCCCCCATCAACACAGTTGGTGTTGATGGGAAAAATCGAACAATTCCCATGGTGGAAGGACAGAAAATCAAGTAGTTTATGGGCTCTTTTAATGCTTGTTTTAACATTCTAGAAATCACTGCTGTCAAAACCAGAAAGTACACTTTAAATGACACTGAATTAAAAAATAAATAAATAAATGAATGACTTGTGTAGCAATAAAATATTTCAAAGTTTTAATTGAAGAAGTATTCCTAAAAAAGGTCATCGTAAAGCTGAGCTCACAATATTACCCCCCATGTCCTAGGCATACTCACCTAGGCTGTCCAGCTTGGAGCAGCACGCAGACACACACTCCTCTGCACTTGCAGCTTTTAGAGGATCAGTAAAGCGAGCACCTTGAGACACAGAATTTTCAATATCTATTGTCATGTTTGGTATTTCCTGGGGGGCACATGCCGAGGAGCTGGGGCAGAGGCATCAGCCGAGAGCACAGTAGCGTACAGCAAAGTGAAGACGAGATGGGGTGTGAGGACCAGCATGACGGCCGGATCATGAGGAAGAGTCAAGGGAGAATCAGACCAAGCTGCATAATATCACAGTGTTCCGTGTATCTGGAAATCACAAATAAAGTTACAGAAGCAGGGGGAAAAATAGGTATTTAAGATTAGAAATCAGCAAATCAATCAGCTTGTATCAACACACGAGTACTCATTTTAGATGTTATTATAGTTTACTTGCTGGACAGGTCATATCTGCATGATATCAAATATTCAGAGAAGTAGATGTGCCCTGCTCTGGCCATCTGTATGCCAGGCAGTGCAGGGTGCATCACTGCTGAATGAACATTGTGAGAGTGTCAGCTAGAGAATAAGCTACATACACAATGAAATACAATATTTTCTGTTTAGTGAAGTCTACAGACAGAATACAGTTTTGCACAACTATTGATAAAACATGCAGAAGGCTCCGGACTCATCAGTATCTAATTGAATGCTAATGTAATGTGGGGGGTAGTGGAAAGATTTCTTAACACAACATTTGATATCCTATACAGCACGGGTCTGCAAACTGTGGCCCATGGGCCAGGTGTGGCCTTTTGCTTGCCTTTATCCGGCCCTTGGGGCACGATTCCTTCCACTGATATGAGGCACTATTCTTCCCACTGACACCAGTGATGGGGCGCTATTCCTCCCACTGATACAGGCACTATTCCTCCCACTGACAACAAAAGATGGGGCACTGTTCCTTCCACTGATACGAGGCAACACTATTCCTCCCACCAACAAAGATGGGGCACTGTTCTTTGTTCTTCCACTGATACAAGGCACTATTCTGACAAACAAAGATGGGGCACTGTTCCTTCCACTGATACGAGGCACTTCCTCCCACCGACAACAAAGAGATGGGGCACTGTTCCTTCCACTGATACGAGACACTATTCCTCCCACTGACAACAAAGATGGGGCACTGTTCCTTCCACTGATACGAGGCACTATTCCTCCCACCGACAACAAAGATGGGGCACTGTTCCTTTCACTGATACGAGGCACTATTCCTCCCACTGACAACAAAGATGGGGCACTCTTCCTTCCACTGATACGAAGGCACTATTCCTCCCACTGACAACAAAGATGGGGCACTGTTCCTTCCACTGATACGAGGCACTATTCCTCCCACTGACAACAAAGATGGGGCACTGTTCCTTCCACTGATACAAGGCACTATTCCTCCCACCGACAACAAAGATGGGGCACTGTTCCTTCCACTGATACGAGGCACTATTCCTCCCACTGACAACAAAGATGAGGCACTGTTCCTTCCACTGATACGAGGCACTATTCCTCCCACTGACAACAAAGATGGGGCACTGTTCCTTCCACTGATACGAGACACTATTCCTCCCACTGACAACAAAGATGAGGCACTGTTCCTACCACTGATACGAGGCACTATTCCTCCCACTGACAACAAAGATGGGGCACTATTCCTCCCACTGACAACAAAGATGGGGCACTATTCCTCCCACTGACAACAAAGACAGGGCACTATTCGTCCCACTGATATCACACCGGTGATGGAGTACTATTCCTCCCACTGACACCAATGATGGAGCACTCTTCTACTCACTGACACCAATCATGTAATCTGCAATGAAGAACAAAAACAGAAAGCGCACCAACCTTGTGCATTACCACCACAGTAAAAAGGTGTAAGTTTATTGAAATAAGATGTATACTCACAAAAGTGGCAATATATAAGGCATAGAAAATCCAAAATTGGAACACTGGAGCAGGAGACCCGTGCGAATCCCACCGAGAGGGAAGACTCTCAGAGTGAAGCTGACACGTTTCGAAGGGAGGTCCCATCTTCCTCAGAGCTCTGTGGGTTTTGCACATGTCTCTTACTCCAGTGTTCCAATTTTGGATTTTCTATGCCTTATATACTGCCACTTTTGTAACTATACATCTTATTTCAATAAAATTACACCTTTTTACTGCGGTAATGCACAAGGTTGGTGCGCTTTCAGTTTTTTGTTCTTCATTGCAGTTTATGTCAGGCTTCCCCAGCCTTGTGTAAGAGCTGCACAACCTTTGATCCCTTGGTGGACGAACTTTCTTAACAGTTCATCCATCCACTCACTTCTGATTTGGGTCCCTGAGCACAGGAGGTGTTGTTTATGTTACCAATCATAGAATTTTTTTTACTCCCATTGAACACCAAGCCTATGGCATTTTCTACTCCCACTGGCCACAGTCCGGCCCCCCTAAAGTTTCAAGAGCAGTAAATTGGACCTTTGCTAATGAAAGGTTTGGAGAACCATGCTCATAGTAATACCCTCATATTGCCAGCAGTTGGTATACAACTTATCACATGCAGAAAAGGTGGGTTTTTAAATCTAAACTCTAGCATCATCCAGCTCTTTCCTCTCCAGCAGGACTGTCCCTGGCCCACCACTTTCATTCACTGGGCATTACAAAGAACAGCCTGCATGAAAATGCAGCCTGCCTAGGAACACCAACTCCTCCAGACTGCCATCCACCTTTCAAGGCATTTTGAGAATTGTATAACTCCTCCCAATAGCCAGCCTACTCTGCACATAAAAGGCTGAGGGCTCTTGAGAGGTGTACTAAGGCAGAGTGCTGTGATGTTTTCAGGAAGCTATCTGTATCGCCATGCCAGACCCTCCCACCAGACATGATCTGCCTGCATTGCATAGAGAATGCACAGAGACCCAATGATTAGTTTTAAAAAAATTTGAAAAAAGTATGTAAAGAGTTTTAAGGGTTCTATTTTAAAATGTAATATTTAATTATATTTAATTTTAATTTCAATTAAAATGTGACTAGCATGTAGAGAAGGAGAAAGGATAGACCAGAAAAGCAGAAATATAAGCAGATCAAACTTCATCTTTAATGCGACTTTGATCTGCTCTGTCTGTTTCTAATCTCTATTCTACACCTGCTTTGCTTTTGTGGAAATGCAGATGAGTACCAGCAAAAGTATTACTAGCAGCCACAAAAACATTTATGCACATCTACTCTCCAAGTTGACGGTTGCTGTCATCTGACAGATGATACAAGCAATCTTTGGGGTATCATGATACAGATCATTAGCACTGGGCAGGAACTAATGTGCACTAAATGTTTCAGCTTAATACACCCTTTTATTTCAGAAGTCAGGTATTTGGTGACCGTTGGGAACCCGCTTCTTATAATAGATCTCAGCTACAAGTAAGCAAACTTTTCCACATTAGTTGCCAATTTACAAGACCTCAGATGAGCCCCAATTTCTAGACCGTCAGACCTCAGATGAGCCCCAATTCCTGAACCGTCAGACCTCAGATGAGCCCCAATTCCTGCACCGTCACACCTCAGTCACACCTGCAGATCAGCAGCCCCAATTCCTGCACAGTCTCACCTCAGATCAGCCCCAATTCCTGCACCGACACACCTCAGATCAGCCCCAATTTCTTCACCATCAGACCTCACATCAGCTCCAACACTTGTAGGGAGCATGGGCCCATTGGTAGATCCTCCAGGGGGCCAGTCTGACCCCAACAGCAAGCCACGTCCTGGTCTTCCAGGTGCTACTGAAAATGACATTGTGTGCTTGCCCTGACACACGTGCCTTAGGTTGCCTATCCCTGGTGTAAACATCAATTGAATGAAATTTATTTATTTTGGAAAATACCATTTCCAACATTTTATCATCCTTTGTTGCATCAAGTCAGAACTCTAAAAAGGGAAAAAAAGAGTGGCAGGGGATCATGGAGAAAATTAGATTCTGTGGGTGGGGGTGTCATGGTAAAAGCAACTTAATCCCTTAAAAAGGCTGATAGCACAAAACCACAGGCTGCTGCCTAAACATTTGCTGGGTGTTTTTCTGATTGCTGGCCCCTGTTCATTAACCCAGGCACAATCTGTACAGAGCTGTGTGTGTCTGGACTATACAATGACGTTAGCAATTTAATTACACTCTACTTTGACTTTATTTTCAGAATCTGGGATTGAGAAGGAAGGCAAATATTTGCTGCTATTGAGTATCTGCAGATAGTCATCAGGTCCTGCAATCAGCTTCTCTGGAAGAAGTATGACACAGAAAACTGTGCTCTGATTACTCTGCAGTGCTAGGCAGAGGGTGACAACGCTACTGGGCATCTACGTCCACCATTTGTATGCCGTACAATAGTGTAGTACTTACCTTAGTGACCATTCACCTCCTATGTCACATGGGATCATAATACAAGGACAATCACTTTGGCTCAGCAGCACCTATAGATCAAAAACAGGAAAACAGTTTTACAACATTTCCTGTTACAAGATCATCACAGAGTTAAAAGGAAAAAAAAAAATACAGATTGCTGCACAGAAAGACTGTTCTGAGTTTAGTGTGCTGGTTATTTGTACACCGCAGCGGCAATCATTCTCTCAGGCCTTAGGTACTTGGCTTATTCCCGTAAACCCAGAGGGGGCCTGCTGCCAGCTAAAACATCTTCCCCACCATACACAATTACTATAAATATTTGTATCTTGATAGTCTAGGTCAGCGACACTTAAGGTCTCCAGCAACTTCATCCCACCCATAACTGGTTCCACTACCCTTCAAATTTGTTGTCCATAAAGCAATTAGATAGCAAAATCTAAATTCCAACTGCACTTTTTGGTTGAAATCGCATCAAATACAGGGGGTATAGAAAAGAATCACCCCCTTTAAAAATAATCACATTTTGTTGCTTCACAGCCTGAAATGAAGACAAATATAGTTTGTTTTATCTAGCTGTAGTTACCCAGTGCGACTTATAACATTCAAGTGAAAGATGTAACACCAACATGTCAGATAAAAAAAAATCAAAAAAAAAAAAAAAAAAAAAAAATCACTGAGCTGAAAAAAGGATCACCCCCTTGTGTCAGTATTTTGAGGAACCACATTTTGCTTTATTTCCAGCCTTTAGTCTGTTGGGAGATATCTCTACTAACTTTGCACATTTAGACTTTGCAATATTTGCCCGTTCTTGTTTGTAGAACTAATCAAGTTCAGT